CCCTGAAATGAACAGGTGAGACTGAGGGGCAAGAAGGGCAGCTTGGTCCCTTCTAGAGACTGATAGCTGATACATGGTGCCCATTTTTCAAGTTGGACTGTTGTACGAGTTTCCTGGGGCTGCCATAACAAAGTAGCATATACTGGGTATTTTAATCAATAAAAATTGATTTTTCTCACAGTTCGGGGTGTTGGAAGTCCCAGATCAAGGTGCCAGCAGGGTTGGTTTCTTCTGAGTCAGTGAGGGGAGGCTCTGTTCCAGGTCTCTCTCCTTGGTTTCTAGATGGCTGTCTTATCCCTGTGTCTTCACATGTCTCTACATATCTATGTCTAAATTTCCTCTTCTTCTAAGTTCAGCAGCCATACTGAATTAGGACCCATTCTAATGACCTCTTTTTAATTAATTACCTCTTTAAAGACTATATTGTCCACTCGCATCCTGAGATACTGAGAGTTCAGACTTCGATATACAAAGTTCAGACTTTGTGGGGACAGAATTATGCTCATTTAGCAGCTATGCAGCAGATGGACCTCGGCTCATAGAGTTTCTGTTACCTTAAAATAGTGCATGCACATTGGCTCAGTGGTAAATGACAAATGAGCCTCAAATCAATTATGGTGCATTTTAAGGGAGTTGAGATTACTTTGTGAGTTGAGGAAATGCATAAAATAATTAAGACAGGAAAGACAATATCTAGTATTTCTCCTTAGTTCCAACTAAGTGGTCTTTGAGGAATCGTCTGAGAACATTTGAGTGTGGTTCTCTTAATCATTTTGTAAACAAGTGATGCTGGGATTCTTTGTTCAGGGAGGTTTCTGGTGGACTTCATTTCCAGATACAACAAACTGTCTGGTTCTTCTCCTGGGCCTCCCCTGACCGCAGCAGTGTTGGTTGTTGTGCTCAGTGGCAAATGCTTGAACTTTCTTTTATTGATGTAAACTCCATCAACCTCAATTTAGAAGTTCCTGTGGCCAGCTGGCTTTTCACTGTTTACCTATGTCAGAGACCTTTGCAGTTTAAGCCAATCTAAGCCACTTGAAATAACTGTAGGAACAGACATGGTAAAGAAATTCATCCTGTCTGGCCCAAAGTAGTTACAGACCCTCGTGTTGTTGGAATGAATCATGTTCCAAGCCTCCTTCCAGATGGTAGAACCCAATGGATGAGGAAAACTCATGGTCCTTCATGGAACTCAGTCTTTATTTCTTCTTCTCTCCCATCTTCGCTCCAACAACAACCTTTCTTCAGTTACTTAGTGCCCTCTGGCCTTGTGATGCCCAGCAGTGGCCCAATATTTCCAGAATTCTTCTAGCTACTTCTGTCTCTGAGAGAACGGTGCTTCTGTTCTGAGAAGGTCTTCTAGGTTCACCCAACATTTATAATGAAATCTCTGTATCCCAGCTTTTCTGGAATGTCTCAAATGATGAGAAATCCACTGCCTTGGGAAACATGTCATTGTTTTTAAACCCCTTCCATTTTTATAACATTCTTCGTGTTCAGAAGCTTGATATTTGTTCTATCTAAATTCCACACATGGTTCTTAGCCTGCTCTCAATCAGTCATATGCAATCAGTGGATTCCATCTTCTATTTGATGACCACCATTGCACATCAGAGGACAGCCAGTGTGCTTGGCCTGAGTCTTCTATACCTCAGGTTGGACAATACCATAGCCAACATCGCCAGCCATGGTTTGGGGTGCCATCCTTGGGCTCATTTGGGCCTCAGGTCTCTGAGTGGGTCCTAATGGCTGTTAGTGGATCAACACTAAACTATGCTGAGATTCCTCACCTTTCAGGGATAAGATAAAATGTTCCCTTCTCTGGGCAGCCTTCCTACATATTACTCAAATACCAGGCAATTAACACCTTCTTTCTTGGTATTCTCATGCCACCTTGTATGCTATAACACTCATCACACTGTATCACAACTATTGATTGACATTTCCTCTCTCTTGCTATATTATGACCCTCTCTTTGAGTAGGGACTGCATCTTAATCATCAGGGTAGCCTCCATTCCTGGGTCAAAATAGAAAATTCATGTTTATTGGTTGCTTTGATGATTCAAGAAATCAAAGTTCAACATCCAGGTACCAGAGCTGGTCAGAAAAGGAAATATCTTTGTTTAGGGAGATTTTTAATGGTCCTCAGCTCAGATCCTTTGAGAAAGATCCTGGGTAATACATTTAAATTATCCAGACCAGGGTGAGAGGTGTGTAGGGAGTACAGATTGCAGCATGGCATACCACTGAGACTTCCCAGATGCTTCTGGATATTCCAGTGCCAATCATGGCTTGCAACCCTAGTGTCAAATTACACCTGAAACCAATATAGCATTGTATGTCCCCTATACTTCAAGAACAAATAAGATTTTTTTTTTAAAAAAGAAATTGTAGGGGCGCCTGGATGGCTCAGTCATTAAGCATCTGCCTTCGGCTCAGGTCATGATCCCAGGGTCCTGGGATCGAGCCCCGTGTCAGACTCCCTGCTCGGCGGGAAGCCTGCTTCTCCCTCTCCCACTCCCCCTGCTTGTGTTCCCTCTCTCACTGTGTCTCTCTCTGTCAAATAAATAAATAAAATCTTAAAAGAATAAAAAAATAAAAACATTATATCTGCTTTCCCCAGACCCTCACCCCAGTTAGTGAGACTTGACATTAAAAAACTCTCTTTTTTTCCTCTCATTGAGGGATAACTGATCATCAGGCTTGTTATTTACTTTTCTAAGATGAGGGTTAGAGGCATTAGGGGCAAATCTCAGACTTTCTTGAGATAATATTTCCTCTCTAACCAATAAACTGGGCAAGAGGATTTGAAGCTGGCTCTATTTCTTCAGGGAAAATTTATTGAGATTCTCTTGCAACTAAAATATGTTCTTCTAGGACTGGGAAGAGTTCATTCTACTTATTTTCTGAAATCTCCTCTCTTTGGTGCTTTCTGTCCACCTACCTATCACAGACAGATATCTATAAAAACTATTAAAGATGTTTCAAAGATGAAAAAAAAAAAATCAAAAGTTGCTCTTGCCCTGATCTGTGACCAGTTCTGAGAGCAACTGCCTTTTTATTTTAGCATTTTTGACCAAGTTCAGTATTTGAAAGGTGGCCTGGTGGTTTACAACACCTTAAGACCTCCCAACAGCTATAGAGATGCTTTTCCAAGGTGGATTGTTTTTCTCCTTTGAAGATTAGATATGACAGTTCCTATGGTAATCTAGCATGTTTGGTGAAGATAACTTTGCAGGATTGCCTCACGCAGTATTTGCCATTTGGTACCACCTAAAAGCAAATCCTCAGGAATAAATAAATGCAGTGAGAGTTTTCCCATCTTAAGTGGGGGTGGAGTGAGTATTGGGGGGGGGGCGGGTGTTCATGATACATATCCTGATATCCCGAAAGCTTAATTCTAGGTCTGTGGATCATGTAGGAGAGATTCCTGTCCCACTTTCTTTTTTACTTTTTTTTTTTTTGAAGATTTTATTTATTTATTTGACAGAGAGAGACACAGCGAGAGAGGGAACACAAGCAGGGGGAGTGGGAGAGGGAGAAGCAGCCTTCCCGCTGAGCAGGGAGCCCAATGTGGGGCTCGATCCCAGGACCTTGAGATCATGACCTGAGCCGAAGGCAGACGCTCAATGACTGAGCCACCTAGGCATCCCCCTGTCCCACTTTCTATGCTGTGGACATATAAATGAGAAGTATCAGAGAAATGTCAGGGGGAGAAATACTAAAAACTAAATAGTCACCCACTGATGCTTAAAATAGATAATTTAAAAGGCAAAATCACATTATAATAAGTTTCTGGAATTTGAACTTATTTGTATTTTCTATCTTGAATTGGTGATATTATTTAGGGAAGATAGATCCCCTGCAAGGACAGATAGGTATGTGTGCCTGGGACTTGTCCTAATTATATGTTGTCAGTGGTATAGAAACCTAAACGACCTCCCCCAAAACTGAGATATGGAATCACTATCAGAGATGGAGTCTGGACAGTGGATATGGCCCAAAATGTAGGAGTATGTCTCTTATGCTGTGAGCCTGTTAGACCCGTCTGATTTTATTGTAATTCCTAAGGTTGTTGGTGAGGCTCTGCCAACCCATTGGAGGGGAGTCCTCTGTAGCAGCATCTTTCCTTTCCACCAGTAAACAAGGCAAGAGAGTGAATTCAAGACAAGTTGATTAAGATGCGTCTGAGCTTGAGCTCTCATCCAGCGAAGGCTACAGTTGGGAGGTGTAGTGGGGGTGGGGGAGACCATCATTGGACGGTGAGTGCAAATACAGTTGTCAAAGCAAGGAGAGAGGGTGTTGTTTAGTATTGAAATCATGTATTCCAGATGTGGGCATTTGGTAGTCAGTCTGCTCTGATGTGACATGCTGCTGAATCTTTAAAGGGCTTCAGCCAGGGAGAGCAAAATCTGATTGGGCAAATTGCTAAAATATTTAAAGTGCAGCCTGTTAAAGCTTTTACTGCGAAGAGCATCACGTCAGAAGTTGTAGTCAGAAAGAGCAAGTAATTGGCTTTCCATCCTCATGCCAGTCAGTCAGCATGAGGCTCTATTCCTATTCCTTCCTCTTCATTGCCAATGCTAATAACAACTCTTTGGTGTGAGTGTGTGTGTGTGTGTGTGTGTGTGTGTGTGCACGCGTGCATACATGCACACATGGGGGAGATTGGATAGCTGGTCAAATGAGAATAGAAGGGAGAGGTATCCGTGAAAAGAGGCTAAGTCCACAAAAATAACGTGAAGGCCATTCTAGGGAAATGGGAACAGGAGGTAAAGGCAGAATTACTAGTTAATAAAGGTCACCTGCCTTTCCAGGTGGTGGTGGTGGTTGGGGCAGTTGTCTTTCAAGGAATGGGTTCTGCAAGCAAAAGAATGACCTTTAGTGACAGCCACTTTCTCTGCATCTTTCATCTCCTCTGAGCTGGAACTCAGGGGACACTTTCCATTTATAATTTATTACATTTTCCACGTAGGTTTTCTTGTCCTTTTCTCCCCAGGCATGACCCCTTGTTAATTCCTGGCAATGATCAGATTGACAACATGGACTCCAACGTGAAGAAGTACGACTCTACTGGCATGTTTCACTGGTGCGCACCCAAGGAGATAGAGAAAGTCATCCTGGTGAGTGGCAGGCCACAGAATCTATGCCATCCACTTCGGTTCCAAACTGCCATTGCTAGGAATGAGGTTTCCCTAACCGGCTGAAGATACAGTCCCTGGTCCTAACTATTTTTGATCATTAAAATTTGGGACTCAGATTGAAGTAGCTAGAACTCTCATCAGAATACGAACCGAGGATGGAATTTTTAATCTCTGAGTATTTATTGGCTTATTACAATATGGGGCAGGCATGTGCTGTGTGTAGGACATCCATAATTCCTATGGTTGTGGCTCTGCTTGACCTCTTTACACTTCAGTTCTCTTACCTGTAAGAAGATGAGATGAGACTGACTCTTAACTCCTAGGATTGTAGTGAAGAGTAAAACCCACAGGGGACTCAATAAAGTTACTACTCCTACTCCTACTACTACTTCTTCTTCTTCTTCTTCTTCTTCTTACTAAATGCCATGAAGAGTTGTGAATGCTACCAATCAAATAAACAATGTTACTTGTTTATAACAATGTCTTGTCTTCTTCTAGATAATAGCCTTACATATTTGGGATCCTTCTTAGCACATGATACAAAATGCATTTACTAATGATGACAATGATGAGCCATGGGTCCACCTCGGGCAGGTGGGGGCTCAGAGCCCTGTTTCATGGTTGGGTCATCTTGGTAAATGGCAGTAGGCTTCTTCTGGTCTCTGCTAGGAATGTCGGCCTAGATAACAATCCATTCTACACTGTGGACTTGTCCTATTAACAGCTTTAGGTTTTAATGCCCACATTGGGTTCCCTACAGTTTATTGTCCTGCTAATCCATGAAAAATGGATTAATAATCAGGAAGGTCAGATGTCTTCTCATCGCAGATTGCTGTGCCCTGCTTCTTTGTGTCAGCCAGGAAAATCCTATCATTTCTGATATCATGGCCACCCTTCTTAGAAAAGGGCTGCCCCAGTTCCTCAAAATGGCTTTGTACTCTAATCCACTAGATTTTTCCATGTGTGTTTTCTCAGTTTAATTATAATCAAGCAATTAAGAGCCAATACAGGGTTGTGCTAGAGGCTGTCTTAGAGGTGTGAATGTTACAGACAAAAGCACAGAAAGAAAGTCAGAATTCTCAAGAAACAGCTCTTGTCTAATTTACCAGGAGTGCAAATGGTTCTAATCATGAAGGTGCTCCATGCATTTACATCCTGGTGTATTCACTGCACTTTTGCCCTGTTGATCCAAACTCAGACTGGTGTTACCCACCTGTGGCAGGTAAAAGGGCTGGGTATCATATCTGGAATCCAGGGTTTTAATGGCTTACCAGTATTCCTGAAGAGGGTATGGCTAACTGACATCCAAACAAAATCCCCTCTGGCATGAAAGAGTTTAGGGAAGTGAGTTACTGCTTCTGTCATCTGAAAAGTAACATCATTTAACAAAACATTTATAACAGGCCGTCTATGTGCTAGACACTGCTTTTGCGGCTAGGGGTAAAGCCCCTGACAATGACTGCTGTCATAGAGCTTATGTTCCAGGGGAGGCAAAGAGAAGATCTCCAGGTAAATAAATGAAGATAGAAAAACATTTCAGACACGGATCCAGTGCTATGAAGACCAATCAAGGAGGGCCATGGTCTAGAAAGGGACCAGGAGGTGCTACTTAGACAGTGTGGTCCAAGAAGCCCTCGCCAAAGTCCCATTGGAGCAGAGATGAGAATACTCAGAAGAGCCAGCTATGTGAAGATGCTTTGGGGTTGCATGGACCCTCTGGGTGCAGGACACTAACTGCTCTGGGGTTAGAAAATATGAAGTGGCCTCAGTCTTGAGGAAATGATCATCTAATTAGAAGATATAAAATGTAACTATGAAACAGTGTACTTAAAGCTAAGTGTTATGAGGCACAAAATGCTATTCAAATCTGGGGGAGAAGACTAGGCTGTGTATCTCAGTGGCCAGAGAAGTCTTACTGGATGCAAACAAATTGTTCTTTGAAGGGTTTAAGGCCATTAAGGCCCAGCTTGGGTTAAACCTTCAAAGATGTATAAGAAGCACCAGATGTACATGAGAGTAGTTTCTCTAGTGGGTCTTAAGCCTGGTAGCATCAGACTCTCCAGGAACTGGGATCCAACAAGATTCTGCAGGTGATGTTACTATGGCCAGTCTAAGGATTGGTGTTTCGGTCCCCAGAGCTAAGCTCCTGTGGTCAGCCACTTTGCTAACTGGAGCCTTACCCACTTCCCAGTGTAGGTTTCCAACCCCCGCTCTGGACCCAGTTTGTATACCTCAAGCTCACTGAACAGAGCTAGACTCCAGTTAAAAGTTATTAGAAACCCCATCACAGCATATTACAGACTGGTTGATGCTCTGCTAACGGTATCTGGGCACTCAGACTTCCAAGCAGCCAAGAAAACTAACTCTAGGTCTTCTCCATGAAGCAGTGAAATGGGATGTTGACTTCCCAGTGGGTCCTCCTTGGTCACTGTTTCTAAGATATATCTTACAGCTCCTGTCTTAGGTGTTCCTGGGCTATTGCAGAGGGAAACCGATAATGGTGACAGCCCTGCTTTATTCTAACGATCAGGCAGTGAAAGCTGGCTTCTTCTTCTCCTTGGGGGTTACTGTAATAACCCTGACATTGTCGTGAATTGTAATATTGGCATTTAAACAATCAATACACCAGTCAATTCTAGGGATTAAATCAAACAGAGTTTGATATGTGCAGTGGACATTAATATGCCTCCCCAAAAGCCACATGGGGCCATCCAGGCATGCAGTGGGTGGATCGAGAGGAAGGAAGGCAAGAATGGGAGGTATTGGACCAGACGGAGGAGTGGAGAAAGGCCCACTAAGTGGCCTCCTTCACTAACACAGTGAGCAAAAGTGTGGCAGTGGCTAATCATTTGCATGGGAAGTTGGGGTCCTCCATTCCCTGGGGTGATTTTATTCATTCATTTGAGATCAAGCCTAGGGTCGGGGGAGGACATGGGCTTATTACTCTTGCTGATCGATCTCTAGATCCTTTTAATTGTTCTTTGGGAGTCTTCCTCTGATGACTTACCCAGGTGGGCCTCTCCAGGAATGTACCTGGAAACCACAAAGCAGCAGTGGACAGGGGTCGACAAACTCTTTTTACAAAAGGTCATCTAATAAATAATTTAGATCTTGCTGGCCATATGGTCTCTGTCACAGCTAATCAGCTCTGCTGTTGTAATGTAAAAGCAGCCATAGGCAATACCTAAATGAATAAGATTGGCTGTGTTGCAATAAAATTTTATTGGAATTTGAATTTTATGTAATTTTCACATATTATGAAATCTTCTTTTTTTTCCAACCATTTTAAAATGTAAAAACCAATCTTGCCTTGGTTCTAGCCAAACAATAGCAGGGTGTAGACCAGATTTGGCCTGTGGGCCATAGCTTGCCAGCCCCTGGCTTAGGATGTTATATTCTACCTACTGATGTAATGATGTAGTGTGAAATCCCATTGGTGAGTCCAGAACTCAAAATTCAAACTTCTCAAGCTGAGACTTAGCATAGATCTTACCATTTTATCATCATTTCAGCAAGAGAGCCAGAAAAGGCAGCTTATTTTATCAACAATTTCATGGAAACTAAGACTTCTTTTCTAAGCAACATAAATATTGCTATTCCCTCTTATTTCCCCCCCCCCTAAAAATCATCAGGAAAGAGCACCGGCTCATATGTATTATGGCATAACTTTCTTAAATCTTTGTCAAAAAAGGTCATGTTATGTGTGGATATATGTTTATATATACTTATTACACCAGTATAATGTATACACACATACTCAAATTATAAATACATATGGCGTGACTGTAACATTGATGAAATAAAAATGAAAGCACATAGTAAGCACTCAACAAATGTTTATCTTTATGAAAGTGATTTTTTTAATCCTTACCACAATCTCTGAGGTCTTTTCTCCAATGCTGGTACACTTCTCCCTGTTGCAGACTCGAAGTGAAGCTGCCATGACAGTCCTGAGCGGTCACGTCGTGGTCTGCATCTTTGGTGATGTCAGCTCAGCCCTGATCGGCCTCCGGAACCTGGTGATGCCACTTCGTGCCAGCAACTTTCATTACCATGAGCTCAAGCACATCGTGTTTGTGGGCTCCATTGAGTACCTCAAGCGGGAATGGGAGACGCTTCATAACTTCCCCAAAGTGTCCATATTGCCCGTAAGTCCAGGGTCACATTAGTGATGTTTTTTTCTTCTTTCCCTTCACAAAAGAAAATCCCAGACGGATATGATAGTTGTAGCTTTGATCATGCGTCTGCTTCTTCATCTGGTTATGGGCCTGAGGACTCAGCCCTTCCCCTCTGCTCTGTCTAGGAATAGCTAAACCCTGGGAGACCTTATTAAAAGGAATTTGCAACCAAGTTCAGCTGCTCATCGAGCATAAAGTTAGGCTGGTATCAAATGCATTACCATATCAGTGTCTCTACCCTCTCTCTCTTGCGCACCCAAACCTAGTGCTTTGAGATATTATGACACTTATAGCAGAATTTACTTATGGAACTACTTCTGTCATTTTATTTATGACATTATTAACGCTTCTATAAATCTTGGTTGTACCACTTTATGTTTTTAACCAAGTGCATTTAAGAGTTCTTTCTTTATTCCTGCTGCCAATCCCTTCTGCTGGCCACTCCCTGCCTCCCATTCATTTAGAAGCCTAGCAATGTTTTCATGGGCACATATGTGCATGGGATAGTCTTGATTTTAAAAAATCCTAGGAACTGTTTGAGACTCTATAAGTCAGTGTAAGGACATGGGATACATGATCTTGGAGTCATCTAATGACTTCCTAATCACTAATCAATATATTTTTCATAAACTTTTAAACAATTCTAGATTTAGTAAACTAGTAAACTGCTTTAGTAAACACAGGGAGTTAAAAACAGTCACCTGAAGAAAAACAAATAGTCCTATGCATGGAAAAGCATAAACAGATATATACCTTTCTAATTTCAGTCATCGTAGATTTGAGTGTGTATTTCCACGATTGTCTTCCTACATGTGCTTTTCCACATGGTCCCCTGGTCCCACGGGACTGGGGTCTAAAAGTATTTTGAAAAGAGCTTATTATTTTGCGGGGCTACATGAGTCTGTGTGTGTGTGTGTGTGTGTGTGTGTATACACATGCATGTGTGTGTGTACACATGCCTGTGTGTGTGTACACATGCATGCATGCGTGTGTGTGTGTGTGTGTGTTTCCTTCTTTGTACTCTTCCATACATGCACTCACCTGTTGGTATGCATATGAATCAGCTCTCATATTTGCAGGTCCTTTTTAAACTCTCCAAAATTTAGCTCACTCAAGCACAATATGTTTGTACAAAATGGGCCTTCATCTCTGTCTTCACATATTTCATTGTTTAAACAGTGCCCCACATCTGGAGCCAGCCCACAGAAACATGGTGTTTCTATGTATGTCACTTGTATTTCTTGAGTTTTGAAATCATGTGTATACAACTGTGCAGGGATTGTCTTATATCACGATTACTGCTGGATTCCCTACAAGGTGAAAATTAAAAGAATATGGATGTAGGCAATTGAGGCTTATGCACTGGTGAAATGATTCAGGAAGTTGGTCAGACTTATTTTGTACCAAGAGATCCCTGGAAAAGTCGGGTTCTTCTCCTCTCAAAAGATACTGCTCCAGAGCCTAGTAGCTTCCCAGCCCCATAGCACTAAATGCCTCTTCCTCCATCATATCACTTTGCAGCAGTATTTTGGGGTCTGAGAGCAGAATCATGACTGTCACTGAGTCATAAAAGACGGTTGATGGTCTCAATCTGTGCAGCCAAGTTCCATCAGCTCAAAGCCCCTTCTCCAGGAGGGAGACTGGGAGGAAGGGATCCAAGGATATCTGGTAGCTGGCAGACCCCCTCCCTATACGGTCAGTGAGTTGAAGGCAACTCAGATCCCCATGTAGGCAAAGCAGAAGCTGGATTCAGGCTGGAGAACCCAGTATGTGAATTCCAAAATGAGGCCATATGGCCCCTGGGGAGCCCCGGCATGGGCTGACCTAGGATCCCTCCTAGGGGCACAGAGCCTGTGGAGGTCACACCTCTCCCCTCTAGCACTAATCCTTTTATTTCACCTGAGCTTGCATTCTCTACCTCTCTGTCATTACCTCCTTGTTCTGTTTCTTTCCCCCCCACTGCTTTTTGTTGTTACGGGATTTTTAAAAAAATCTGTTTACTGGCTTATTTATTTTTAATTATACCGGTAATATACAAATACATTCTTGTTATAAAATATTCAAACAAGACAGAAGTATGTAAAGTCAAAAACAAACTTTTTCCCTTACCCCCAATCTTATTCTCCTCCCTAGAGGTAATTACTATTATTAGTTTAGTGTATCTTTTTCTTGAAATTTCTCTCTGAATGTACATGCATTTATCAGTATATTCATGAATATATAGTTTTATTTTGTGGGTTTCTTTTTCCATAAATGAAATCATACTTTTTGAATTATCTACAACTTTTTTGTGTGTGCCTTTCCCCCCGTCCCCAACTTATCCCACTATTTCAGAGATTCTTCCAAAGCTATGCCTACATGGAGAACTGTTTTGGTCTCTTTACCTGCTGCATAGACTTCCCTTGAACGTATGTCCGGTGGTGTATTCAACCATCCCTATGTTGTTGGTCAATTAGGTGATTTTCTTGTTTTTTTGTTTTGTTTTGTTTTTTAGAGAGGGAGCAGGGAAGGGAGTGCAGAGGGAGAGGAAGAAAGAGAATCTTAAACAGGCCCCATGCCCAGTGCAGAGCCAGGTGTGGGGCTCCATCTCACGACCCAAAGATCATGACCTGAGCTGAAACCAAGAGCCGGATGCTTAACTGACTGAGCCACCTAGGAGCCCCTCTTGGTTTTTGTTTTTGTTTTTTTCTTGCTGAAAATATGCAATAAAATTATATGACTTGAAGCTTAACTCCTTTCCCCTGCCCCTTTGCAAGATGCACATTCCTTCCAACCCTCCCACCTCCTCCAGGTGGAGCAGCGCCATCAGAGCCCCCTCATCACACCACGCTCACTGGCTATTTCCCCTCGACTGCATTGGAAATTCTAGTTGGAGCTGCTGTTTTTGCCCGAGACAGAAGTGACCTGCTATTAAATAAACAGGCATTCGAAACCCACCCCCTCGTGATGTTCTGAAAGCCAGAGGTTGCCACAGGACAGTTTCTTAAATCAAGACAATTTCCAGGCAGGAAGAAGATGTAGGACCTTGGCATTATTCCTCTCCCTCGTTTGTTAGCAACAGCTTGATTGAGTGTGGAGAGCAAGCCTGAAATGCCGCCATCAGCACTGACTACCCTTTAGATTAGCACACAGCTCCTATTCCCTTGAATGTAGTTAGGCCAGCTTAATGTCAAGGCATAACAAAGATACTTGTTAAATAATTTCCCAAAGCTCTGGCTCAATCTTTAATTTGTTTTTATTTTTCCCCCTCTTCCCCTCTTGTCCCTCGGTCTCACTTTTGTTTCTTCTTTCTTTCTTTTTTTTCTTTTTTTTCCTTTCCTCTATGCCAAAGGGTACACCATTAAGTCGGGCTGATTTAAGGGCCGTCAACATCAACCTCTGTGACATGTGCGTTATCCTGTCAGCCAATCAGAATAATATTGATGATACTTCGCTGCAGGACAAGGAATGCATCTTGGCGTCACTCAACATCAAATCTATGCAGTTTGATGACAGCATCGGGGTCTTGCAGGCTAATTCCCAAGGTAAGGACAGCCTGTAATACTTCTCTGCTGTGCCTACAGGGGACAGGGGCTGGCAAGAGGGATATCCTTCACTCAGTAATTCAAAGAGGCTCACATCAGCCTGCCTGGCAGTGACACCCGCGGTCGCTGGGATGGCTTTCAAAGGGGCATCCACTGCCTCTTCTTACCATTGCGGGAAGCAGGCTTGAGACCTGAACACCCACACTCAGAATAGGCTGCTGTCCCAGAGAGGAAAGCAGCCTTTAAATTGCCACCCCCTCAGTCTTCCCAAACAGTGGCTTGATGACCAGGGTCCCCTGATTAAATCAGGCACTGCAAAGATGCTGCCGGAACAATTCCCAATGTTTCTCTCCAGTATATATTTTTGCCATTGACCTATGTTAAGCTTTGCCATTGTTATTATTGCATGGGGTTGTTAAGCTTTACCCTGTTATACGCCCACCTACGGATGGTGACCCCTGGACAGGGGGGGACAGTATGGACACAAGAAGTCATTTAGCAAGAGGTGATGCTCCTCGGGTCACCCATTCTCTGCAGGAGGCACGACAGAGTTAAATGATGCACATCTGCCTTCTCTGCTCTGCCCCCATCTTCCTTGTCATTTTCCCTGGGATCCTGGGCAGGTAGCTGCTAGTAAAGATGTCATCTAGAAGTCTCAGACAGCACAGCCAAACCTCGTAACAAACAGCCTCACTAATCAGGGCCTCGGCAGGATGGGATGTGAGGCCTCGGTGCAGGCTTGCCATGAACAGCAGGATCATTGCCGTAAGTGTTTCACCAGACGGGTGGCCCTGGGGGCCTGATGGGGGCCTGAATCCCATCATTCCAGGACTGAAGGTGGAGGGAGCAGGGCCCAGGAGAACTATAGCTGCTGGGATGAGCAGTGCCATCTTACTGACAAGGGAGAGCTCAGCTCCGTCATGCCGCCCACACCGGTCATGCTGCACGTGCATGAGCTTCTGTCAGCTCAGCACCATCTCTTTACCACAGCTGTTCAACGGTGCAGCAAACCTGGGAACAGCCGTTCCTGGAATCCTCTTCTCTGCACGGTTCTGCACCAACGTCTGCCAAGGAGAATGGGGCCCAGGGACGAGATCTAGAATTTGGAAAAGGGAAAGAAGCCTTAGTTCTTTGGAGGCAGTGGCAGCCCGACCCTGAGCAGATGCGAGGTTCAAAGCAGCTCTTAGGGGAGCGTTCTGAGCATCACTGGCTTTGCTGCTAGGGACTGAGGGGGCTGCTGTGGCCTTCTTCGAGTTGCCTTGAGGTCTCCAGCACCTCCCGTGGAAAATTCCACCTCGTGTTGCAAGTGAAACGGCCCTTCCAATGATTGCGTCAATATCTGATTTTCTTCATACTTGGAATAGAGTGGCTTCTAGTCTTCATTGCTTTTTTTTTTTTAATTCAAGTTCGTTAACTTACAGTGTAGTATTGGTTTCAGGGGTAGACTTTAGTGATTCGTTACTTTACATATAACACCCAGTGCTCATCCCAACAAGTGCCCTCCTTAATGCCCGTCACCCAGCCACCCCATCCCCCCACCCACCTCCTCTCCAGCCACCCTCAGTTTGTTCTCTTAGTTATAGAGTCTCTAATGGTTTGCCTCCCTCTTTATCTTACTTTATTTTTCCTTCCCTTCTCCTATGTTCATCTGTTTGTTTCTTAAATTCCACATGAGTGAAATCATATATTTGTCTTTCTCTGACTGACTTATTTCGCTTAGCATAACACCCTCTAGTTCCACCCATGTTGATGTGAATGGCAAGATTCCATTCTTTTTAATGGCTGAGTAATATTCCACTGCATACACTTCTTTTCTTTATCCATTCATCAGTTGATGGACATTTGGGCTCTTTCCATAGTTTGGCTATTGTTGATAATGCAGCTATAAACACTGGGGTGCAAGTGCCCCTTTGAATCAGCACTTTTGTATCCTTTGGATAAAAACCTAGTAACGCAATTGCTGGGTCATTGGGCAGCTCTATTTTTAGCTTTTTGAGGAACCTCCATCCAGTTTTCCAGAGGGGCTGCACCAGTTCGCGTTTCCACCAACAGTGTAGGAGGGCTCTCCTTTCTCCGCATCCTCGCCAACATCTGTTATTTCTTGAGCTGTTCATTTTAACCATTCTGACTGATGTGCGGTGGTTTCTCATTGTGGTTCTGATTTGTATTTCCCTGATGCCGAGTGATGTGGAGCATTTTTTCATGTGTCTGTTAGGAGTGGCTTGAGGCAACCCTGACTGATCCAGTCTGAAGCCTGGTTTTCACCTCTCTATGCCACCAACCTCTGTCTCTCCCCTAGTCTAAATCTTGGTATCCACTTGCTTAGCCGGGCTGCAGGCAGAGCAACATGTCAAGGCTCTGAACGAGAGTGTTACCTACCCCGCTGTGTCCTGGAGAGCCAGAACCTGCCTCCTGCCTGCCCTGCCTGTGCAGGGAGTGCAGGTGACAGAGGGTATGAGGAGACCGTAAGCTGACCTTCTAGGAAGTGGAAGAGGCAAGCCACCGTTTGGTTCCTGCCTTTAAGTACTTGTTCTTCCATGTATGTCCTCCCAACTCTGCCCCAGCATGAGCTTGTTAGAGATGCAGCATCTCATGCCCACCCCAAACCTCCTACATCCGAATCTGCATTCTAACGGGGTCCCCAGGTGACTCATGTGCCCTGCTGTAAGGCACAATAATCTGCAAGCTAACAACACCCGGTCCAGTGAACAAACTGACCAACCCAATCAGATGCTCCTCTTCTTCTGGCAGGAGCTAGCAAGGGGAATGGAGAGAAGCAGAAGCAGGAGAAGCAGTCCCTTAGGGGGGCAGGGTGGGGGAGATGGAACTGAGCTGGAGGGGCAGAAAAGTGCACGTCTGTTTTCTCCCAATTTAATAATTGTGATCGTCAAGGTCCATAGATCAGAATCTCAATGCACCATTGAGTTATGTGTGCATCTGACATGGGTTTTCCTTCCAGCTCTCAGAAACCAGATCCCAGCCTGTCAGATCCTAGATGATGGCCAAACTGGTAAAAATGCTTTCCCTCCCTTCTGCACATACCCAATTCTCAAAAGCCTTCCCTTTACTGTCTTTAGCTTGGGAATAAGCAAGGAAAATGGGTTTTGGTAGGAGATAAGGAAGAAAGGGAAAGGGAGCTTAGTTTTCTTACAAAAAAAAAGAGAAGGGCCCTCCTTCTTTTGTACACCTGTTCCCCTGAAAGCACTCACACACGCACACAGGCACGCAGGGGCCAGAAGAAGGCAGAGGCTGTATCTTAGGGCTTGTGGCTTAGAGGATGTATCTTGGTCCGCAGTGGAATGGGGCCCATGCCTCCAGCAGCTGGCGAGCAGTCTGTTCTGCCCTCAGGGAGAGACTGCCAGAACTATAGACGCACTGAGCCCACATTTCCCCTTGTTTTCTTACTCTGTCTGCTCTTCTCTCGCCCTTGGTTTCTAACACTCTCCTCTGGGGACACTCTGACTTTCCTGGCCATCAGCGCAGGAAGTGACTTTCTCTCTGATGAGTGAGTGCTCTGGGTTCACCTTGGGCTGCTCATCATGCAGCCCACCCTTGGGTTTGTCCTACCCCATGGGGCTCGAGGGACAAACTAGGTTTCCCCGCTACTGTGTCCCTCCTTGAGACACTCTGGACCAGCAGGAATGCTCATTGGCCTCAGATATTCTCACTACCCTTCATCTGGGCATTTGTCACCACCACACTGCGGGTGAATTGGAATTAGAGTACAAAATGATTTTGTGTTCCTCTTTTCAGTGGGGGAAGCAAATCTAACTTGCCCTGAGTGATAACGACAGAGCTTCCTGGCCACTGTTACCCAGTTTTCATTATGATTTATTCTGTAGTTCTTATAAAACCCCATCCTTTGCTTTGTCTTGAGAGCTACATGACCATGTCTCCAGAACTCAGCAGGACAGAAATGTGGACTCAGAACAAACATGTGTGCTTTGGGGCCAAAATACCCATGCATTTTTATGGCAAGTTTTCCTCACATGATACAGTGTAACATGAAAAATGTGTCTTAACACTGAGGAGGTAGAGTCTTTGTTGAGATTTGTGTTCAGACCCTTGCCACTCTGCATTACTTGGTCTCCGAGACCAACAAAACCTCTTTTCCCTTTTCCCTCTCCTCTATTCACATTGCCTTTTGGTGTCACTGTTCTAGGCCACATGGTGTCAGAACTGACCCAGCCTAGGGATTCTGGACCAGACACTTTCTAAAAGATTTGAGATGTGATGCCTGGTTGTCAAAAACAATTACAGAGAAAGGTGGCATACCCCATGTTGGATGGTATATCCAATGTGACAGTTGGGTCTATGAGATGCAGTTTTAATATACAGCAGGGAAGACTGCAGTGACAATTATATAAAGCAGGTGAAGCTGCTTCTTGCTGGTCAGCAAACATCAGCTCAGAACCACTTTACAGCTCTTTACCAGCAACTAAGTGCCTTTATTTACAGAGCGCCTGTCACTTCCCTTTGGCTGGAGAGCTGGTGTATTATTTAGCACGCATTTATCTGGGGAAAACATTTCAATTTAAATCAACTGGTACAACAGTGGCTCTTGCCAGACTGTTTCCGCGTGGTTCTAAAAGACAAGAACTGAGTGTGATCTTGAAAGGGAGGGTGAGCCGAGGAAGGAAGGGTCCATTCTCAGAGAGCCCCTTGAGTCAGCACCTGAAAAGAGGGAGCATGTGATTGAGTTTCCCTTTGTGCTTTTGTATCACATTATGAAGTGAGCATCTTAGAGTTTCTTCCTGGTGAACCTTCTCGTGAGGGTAACTCTTTAGAGAAAGAGAGAGGAATAAACGAGTGCCCACTATACATCAGGCACTGTAAAAGCCCAGAGCACAAAGATGACTTGGACGCAGCCAGTCACTATCCTTGAGGGCCCAGGTGAATGGAGGAGATACCCCCATAAACAATCACAGTGCAGTGAGACAAGGATGAGACTAGGAATACAACTGTACATAAGGCTCCTCGTTTTATATATTTTAAGGAGT